ACTGTTGCTCTATAGTATAGCTTAAGATCAGGGATGGAGATACCTCCAGAAGATCTTTTATTGTAGAGGATTGTCTTAGTAATTCTGGGTTTCTTGTTATTACATAAGAAGTTGATAATTTTTCTTTCCAGGTCTGTAAAGAATTGAGTTGGTAATTTGATGGGAATTGCATTGAATCTGTAGATTGCTTTTGGTAAGATGGCCATTTTTACTATGTTAATCCTGCCAAGCCATGAGCATGGGAGATCTTTCCATCTTCTGATATCTTCTTCTAATTCTTTCCTCAAAGACTTGAAATTTTTTTCATACAAGTCTGATTTGCTTGGTTAGGGTTACACCAAAGTACTTTATGTCATTTGTGGCTATTGTAAAGGGTGTTGTTTCCCTAATTTCTTTCTCAGCCCTATGGTCTTTTGTATACAGGAGGGCTACTGATTCTTTGGAATTAATTTTGTATCATGTCACTTTTCTGGAAGTCTTTCTTTGATGAAGCTAAGTGGGGTCTTCCTGAACTTGTTAGGTAGTCCTGGCTAGCCTGGTATTCACTATGCAGGCAACAGTGAGCTTGAACTCATGGAAATCCTTCTGTTTCAGCCTGACTTCCCTTTTTCATAGGCAGTGCAGAATTCCTAGCACATTTTGGGAAAAGTAGAAATTATTGTACATAAGAAAAATATCAGTCCAGAAAGATATTTGGACAGAACAGCTCTTTGAAACCAATGTTCAGACTAGAGATGGGTGAATATCGCTCTCATTCATCTTCCACAGTGAACTGAGGGATTTCCAAAAGTGCATGTGTTGTCCTGCTTGACTTCTAAATGAAGTCTTTACCTGAACAGTAGAAGTGGCCATTCCACTGTCATTTAGGCACAAATGTCATGAAGGAAAACCTGATTCATAAACAGCTGGATGGTGAGAGGCTGGGTCAGAGGAAAAGAGATCAGTACACATAAAGCACAAGGAGAGAGATGAATGACAAGATGAAAGGGACTTTCCCAGTGCTTGTTCTTTGTTCAATGTCTTATCCACCATGAAACATAAAACCCAAACCAAACCAAACAAAATAACCAAGCAAACTTAAAACAGCTATTCTTAGTATGATAGAAGTCCTTAAAGGGGAAACAAAGAAATCCCACAAAGAAATCTATGAAAACAAAACAAACAGTGGGAAAAATGAATAAAACCACTTATGATCTGAAACTAGTAATAGAATCAATAAAGAAAGTCCAAACTGAGGGAAATCAAGAAATGAAATACTTAGAATCTTAAATAGGAACCAGAAGGGCAAGCTTCAATCAACACAATGTTTCCAAAACAAGTCTTCACAGGATAATTTTCAGCTTCATGTGGAAACACACACAAACAAAACAAAACAAAAACAAAAGCAAACAAAAAGAAAAACCCCAACAACACACAAAAAAGAGAATAGCTAAACAATTCTGGATAATAAAATAATTGCTGTAGGTATCACCATCCCTGATTTCAAGTTGTACTAGAAATCTACAGTAATTAAAAATAGCTCTATGCATGGTACTTGGTTGGAGTATCAGTCTCAGGATAGACCCCCGTGCTCAGATTTTTTGGTTCTGTTGCTCTTTGGTTCTTGTGAAGCTCCTGTCCTCTCCAGATCTTACTATTTCCCACTTCTCTAATAAGATTCCCCTCACTCTGCCCAAAGGTTGGCCATAAGTCTTAGCATCTGCTTTGATAGTCTGCAGGGCAGAGCCTTTCAGAGGCCCTCTGTGGCAAGTACCATGCATGGAGATAACCTAGAACCTCTGCACAGATGTAGCCCATGACAGTTCAGTGTCCAAGTGGGTTACATAGTAATGGGAACAGGGACTGAAGTATTCCTGTGACAAGTCAGAAAATGATTTTATTTGAAGGAATACGGAATACTTTGGGACTTTGGACTAGAAAAAACAATTGGACATTTTAAGTAGGCCTTAATAAACCAACATAGAGCATTGAAGACAGTGGAGCTGAGCATAAGCTGTCCTGTGGGGGTCTAGCTCAAGAGGTTTCAAGGCAAATATTAGTTTGTGGCCTAGACACATCTTGTGATATTTTGGCAAAGAATGTAGCTCCTTTTTGCACTTGCCTGAAAAGTCTGCCTTTGGCTAAAGAGATTTGGATAGTATTTGCAGAGAAGGTTTCAAAATAGCCTAGTGTTTGACAGTGTTTATGTGGTTAGTAGTGGCCAGTTCATCCAGATTTATAATGAAAAGGGACACACCAAACAAAATACAAAAATGTATAGTTTGAAAAGAAAGGAGCACCAGGAATTGTAAAAAGATTAAAGAAAAGCCTGATGTTCAGCGTAAAAAAGGAACTGATGACCTCAGAACAAAATCCCACCTAGCTAAGCTTCCAACTTGAGAAAAGGAATTATAGAAAAGTGAAAAGGAAATAAAGGAAAGAATGAGCTATTTTGGTGCACACCTTTAATCTCAGTGCTCTGAAGTCAGAGAGTGGTGAAAAGTTCTAATGCAGCATTACACTGTCAGTGACTAGAAATAGAAAAGACTGTAGTAGAGGACCTCATTTTCCAGTCTGTTCCTCATCTTCTTCAGGTGAGGCGTGATGATCCCCTGAGCTACACAGCAGCAATTGGATTACAGGCCTCTTCCATGAATGGATAATATTTCAGTAATTTGAATTTGCATATTTTAGTTCAGGACATTCTAATCTGAGTGACTTACACCAGCTCTGAGACTGAAGTCTAAAATATAACTTATCTGGAAGCAACTAACATAGTAGGGAGAATAAACAGACACTTTCCTAAGTTGCACTGACTTCAATATAAGACAGGAAAAAATGGGAATTTTTCTTCTAACACAAGCGGTGCTAACTCTTATTTTGTTAAAAGCAGTTTCAACCCTGGAGTTGTTATTCCACAAAGGACAATTATCTCTGTGTATGAAGAGACTAATGATCTTTAAAAAAAACATTTTAATTTCATTTTTATTATTACAATTTACTCACTTTGTATCTCAGTTGTAGCCCCCTCCCTCATGTCCTCTGGGTCCCATCTTCCCTCCAGGCTGTGTTGCTGTGTACATATTATTTAAATTTAGTTATGTCATGGAATATTTTGTTTTCTCCATCTTGGCTGATTGAAATTTTTGCTGTGCATTATAGTCTGGGATGCCATCTGTGGTCTCTTAGTGTCTGCATGACATCTGCCCAGGCCCTTCTGGCTCTCATAGTCTCTGTTAAGAAGTCTGGTGTGATTCTGATAGGTCTGCCTTTATATGTTACTTGATCTTTTTCTCTTGCTGCTATTTTTTCTTTGTTCTGTAGATTTCATGTTTTGATTATTACATAACAGGAGGAATTTCTTTTCTGGTCTAATCTATTTAGTGTTCTGTAAGCCTCTTGTATGTTTAAGGGCATCTCTTTCTTAAGGTTGGGGAAATTTTTTTCTATGATTTTCTTTAAAATATTTTCTGGACCTTGGAGCATGCAATCCTTTTCATCTATTCCTTTTGTTCTTATGTTTCATATTTCCATGGTGTCCTTGACTTCTTCGATGTTTTGTGCCAGGAACTTTTCCCTTTTTATGCTTTTTCTGAAAGATGTATTGATTTCTGCAATTGTATCTTCAGTGCCTGAGATTCTCTCCTCCATCTCTTGTATTATGTTGGTCATGCTTACCTCTGTAGTACCTCTTCTCTAAGTTCTGCATCTCCAGGGTTTTCTTGGTTGTGTTTTCTTTATTGATTCTAATTCTGGTTTCATGTCTTGAATGATTTTATTCATTTTCTTCACCTGTTTGAATGTGGATTTCTGTCTGTCCATGGTGGCCTTTATTTGTTTGTTCATTTCCTCTTTATGTATCTCTAATAACTGCATAATCAGAGATTTAATAGCATTTTCCTGTGTTTCAGATGCATTGTGATATCCATTGATTTGGGAGGATTCTGATGAAGCCATGATGTCCTGGTTTTTATTATTTGTATTCTTATGCTGGCCTCTAGCCATCTGGTAGTCTGTAGCCTTGGGTGTTTTTTCCTGGAGCCTGTACTTCAGACTGAGTCCACCTGTCTCTGGAGTCTGGAGTAGTCTACAGGAAGATGACAGTTGTCCAGGGGCTCAAGAATGGATGATGGAGATTCAGATGCAGCTAAGGAAGGGAGGGTACTTTGCTGAGTTCACTGTCTCTTCTGGATCACTGTTTACCATCCAAGTAGGTCAGCTGGGGCACAGGTAGAAAGATATCCAAGCCTAAAGATGCTACAGTGCCCCACACTTTTCCTCAAGATGGTAGATAATGGGTCTTGAGTCCTATACCTAGCTCAGCTCCTCAGGGTTACTGTCTCTTCTGGACTCACTCTTTCTGATCCAGGTATGCCAGGCAGCTGGGGAACAGACAGAAAGAGCACTGAGCCTAGAGCTGTTCTAGCACCCCACAGGCCTTCTCAGGGTAGAGGACAGTGGGCTTGGGTACCATGCCCATCTCACTTCTGCTGGATTCACTGTCTCTGTAATTTATCTTCTAATGTTATCATCCAAAATAATGTACTGAAGAGTCCACAGGTTCTAGGGATGGGATGTTGATCTGTGGAAGAGTGCTAGCTTAACATGCGCCAGTTTTAATTTCTTTATGTGTACATTTCTATGTGCAGGTGCTCTCATGGCACAGAAGAGGACACAAGAACGATTAAAGAAAAAGAGGCTATAAATTTAAGAGGGAGTTTGGAGGGGGGAGCAAGATGAGAGGAGTTGAAGAGAGGAAAGGGAGGGAAAGAAATGGTGTAATTGTATTTCAAATTAAAAATAAAAATTTGAAAATATGAAAAAAAAACTATTCACAGAGAAAAATTGGGAAATGATAATCATTGTGTCATACTCTTGGGCCAGCAGTGAGCATGAGTTATCATATACAGTTTTATTGTGGATTCTAAACTTTTATGAACATTGGTTTTCTTTCAACTTTGCAGATATTTTTCTTTAAAATTTTAATTTAATTATCTATCTAATTATGTTACACATGACAGAAAAATTGTGAAACAAGTTGTTCCAAAGACCAATTTCAGTGCTCCAATGGACAGTGCCTGTCAGAGAAATGGAAGTGTGATGGACATGAAGACTGTAAATATGGAGAAGATGAGAAAAACTGTGAACCAGGTAAAATGAAAGTAGAGGGTCCAATTTAGTGGTTGTTTTTGTTTGCTTTGTAGTATTTGTTTTTTTTTTTTTTTTCTTTCCCAAGACAGGGTTTCTCTATGTAACAGCCCTGGATATCCTGTACTCACTTTGTAGACCTGTCTGGCCTCAAACTCACAGAGTTACACCTGCCTCTGCCTCCCTGAGTGCTGGGGTTACAGGCATGCATCAACATACCTAGTTTTAGTGGTTGTTTCTAACTTAGTAAAATTTAATCCAAAACAGTGATGTCCAGAAAACTGTTAACACAGGCACACATTTTACTGGAATATAGAGATCATTTGGAGTATCTGTAAATAAAATATCTGTGCTTTTTTTCAAAGTTTCAAAGTTATTTTGCCAGATAAGATCATTCTTTATGCGTTTGGTATGGAATCCAAGTACTAGGCATCTGTATTTGATTTCTGGTTCCTCTACTTTTGCCATACCTCTTGGAATTGGTCTCTCTTATGACAAAATGAAATTTATTTTAACTGTATGATCATGTTATGAAACAGTCATCAGCAGTTAGATTAGCCAGGTAAGAAGCACATAGGTTTTATGTGTCATTCCAAATCAGATGAAAATGAGAAAATAACTCAAGGTATAGTATAGAAAAATAACTGAATTAATACATTTCTATTGTGTAAACACGGTTCTAAGATATGATCATTGACTAGGCAATGCTTCTTTAAATGCATCAGTTACACTGTCTTATAGAAAAAAATTCAAAAGACCATATTGTCATCTATGTGTAAATACAAAAACATAGACTTGGGTGATAAGGTCCAAGAAGATTATTTACTGACTTGAACTCTGCTCTTGCTATGACCCATATTTCGAATGGATCATATCTTTCTTTCTGCCTCCAAATGTCCTCTTAACCACTGTATTCATCAGATTCACTAGGCAAAACTTTGTCAAGGGATCCTTTTCCACTTCTGCTGAAGCTGTCAGATCTCATAGTCAGGGAAGGAGGTCCCCCCATCAGTGGAATTGGAAAGGGGCACGGTGGAGAGGAGGGAGGGAGGGAGGGACTGGGAGGGAATAAGCGATCGGGACACAGCTGGGATACAGAGTTAATAAAATGTAACTGATAAGAAAAAAATAAAATTAAAAAAATAGTAATTTAGGCCACACCATTGTGAAATAAAAGGTCAGACGCTAGAAATCTCAATATAAGTCTCAAAACCCAAATCCATAGGCCAAATGCAGCTATCATAAATTATATGATAATAAAAACAAGGTGATGACAGTAATTTATCCATTTAAAAACTCTGCTTAAGGAAAAAAAAAAAGAGCACTAGTTGGGTGGTGTGGTACATGCTAGAGTGGCAGAGGTAGAGGATGTCTGAGTTTGAGGCCAGCCCGGTCTACAGAGTGAATTCTAGGATGGCCAGAGCTGCACAGAAAAACCCTGTCTTAGGAAACCAAAGGAAAAAGAACCATCTATAAATTCTATAGGCTTGGTTTACTATACAAATGTTATCTTTAGGTCTGAAGAGAAAAATGTTCAACTGGCTATCACTAGATATCATGCCAAAATTTCACTTTCTGTTTTATAGCACAGTATATATAGAAAATATAAGTTCATACACACACACACACACACACACACACACACACACACACACACACTTTCTCAAGGCTACTTCATGCTTTTGCAGTCTTGAAAACAGATTTTTTTTCAAATAATTTGAAAGTGTGAGTAACTTACTTAACTCTTCATAATTAATGGAATAAAGTCTCAACGATTTGTCTTGTTTATTTAGTTTATCATGTTAAGTACTTACTTCACACCCTATTACATCTTTGATGTGTTCTCCCTATAATGAAATAATAGTGCAAAACCCAATTTAAATGGTATTTAATGCTAGTTGTTGAACATTTTTAAATATCATAAGCTATTATTTTGTTTGCCCATGAATTCATATTTTCATATTCTTTCATCTTATAAATTGGTTATCTCTTTTTGCTATATCTAAACTTCAGCTTTGTAATTGTTTAGCCTTTCCTGCCTGCTCGTCAAGTGAATACATGTGTGCAGCTGGAGGTTGTCTGTCAGCATCTTTGAAATGTAATGGAGAACCTGACTGTGTTGATGGTTCAGATGAGGTAAAATCTATCATATATTAAAACCTTTGAATTACATGAACTGGGGTTGACAAGCAAATGCAATAAAAATTTTGTATTTTACTTTTGAGTATGTATAGTTATATGTTATGTTTTGTACATGGTATAAAGGGATATAATTCCTACAGCACACTGTTATTTGTAGAGGATGTGTTTATCAAGACAAAATAAAATAAATCACACTCTATTGCAAATAGTCACTATTGTGCATTTCATGGCTACCCTGCCTGCAATTCTATCATCATTAATGAAAACTGATGCATGCCCATTATGTTGGAACAGATGGATTGTGTGATAGAATGTAAGGAAGATCAGTTTCGATGCAAAAATAAAGCATACTGTATTCCGATCCGATGGCTGTGCGATGGAATTTATGACTGTGTGGATGGCAGTGATGAAGCCAACTGTGACAGAGGTAAGGCCCAGTGTGTATATGAGTGTCCACAAATGGGGCACTGGAAGTAAAGTTGCTGGGTAGAGTCTACAGAACATATAAAGGGTAGGATTTATGAATATTTTACAGCTCTTTCTAGTTTCTTTCCTTAATAACTTGCTCTAATTAAGAAAAATCCACACAATTTTGAGAAAAAAAATGTAATCTCCAACTATGCACAATGGGAGAGAACTCATTCAGATGCAAGAGTTTATCGAGTGCCTGATGGGAGAATGCCTCCAGCCTAAACACTGGGTCAGTGATACGGTGAGAGATCCAGGGGATACAGCCTCTGGAGAGATACAGCCTTTGAAGAGGCCACAATCTCTGTAGAGACAGGAGAGAGTCTACAGATAGGACACACATCTATAGAAACAAGACACAGCCTCTGTAGAGGACATGGACTGCTTAGAAGACACTGTTTCCAGCAGTACATCTTCACAAGTGGTCTCTGTTCTGCAGAGCCTCCCTATGTAGCTTTACTTACTCTGAGAGAACAGAAGGAACACGCGGCTTACTGGGGTATACACAATTAACTGCATGATATGTAACTTGTAGTTTGTGTCAGAGATTTTTCTTGTTGGCATGTTGAGATAAGTTGCACTTTTTTTTTCAATCTGGCAGGTGATTTCCTATTTTACATTTAATATTTTGCTGCTGTGTGAAGACCATTTTTATGTAACTATATTTTGTCTCTACATCATGATATTCAAAAATTGTGTGCTGAAAGTTAAAATGATCACAGGTTACACAACTTTCATTTTTATATTATTTGGTTTGTTGCTGTTGTTTAAATGCAGTGTTTTATAACTTGATCTCTCAGTGGAATTTTCATTTCAATATCTGAAACATGAACAACAGAGATGATACTGCCACAGTCTCCCAAACACTTAAGAACACTCTCAGAATTTATGCATACATCTGTTTCTTAAGATCAAGTACTTATGATTATATAATATTTCCCTCTCATACCTGACAAGGTCTTATATTTAGGAGAAATTTCAGTCCACCCCAGAATCTACAGTACAATGTCAAAAAGAAGGAAGTATGAGCATCTGAGGTAGCTTTCTATCTTCAGTTTTGCACTCTCTTTTTGCGGTTGATCTTTCTAAGATCAGGAGTCACCTGGATCAAATGGTAACACCAACTCACCTGCACTGTTTTATAAAAATCTGTGTAACTATAGTTTACTTGGTAAGCTAATGGCTTCCATGCACAGGTTTATCCCTCGACCTAGTGTAGCTAAGGGGCTCTTTGTGCCTCTGGAATACTGCCTGACTGGTCATCAGTGCAAAGCATTTGCTGCTGCCAGCCTGCTTTGTTCACTTTAGCTGTTACTCCACCTCACATTCTCATGTCCTGATGCTCCACTGTATGGCATCCTGAAAAAAAAAAACTGGATATCTCAAGAATCGTTCATACTGAGATGAATTCTCCTTAATGCTTCATGGACTGAAGAAGCTGAGCATATTTCATTTAACAGTTTTCATTTGACAAAGCCACATCTCCCCTCCCTGCCCAAATGTTTATCTTTCCTAAGGTTCTTTGCATCTAGGCAATTATGTTCAAATTAATTATTTTGGTGACTGAATTTTTTGTTCATGCCTTTACATTTCTCAAGGAGAGACAATGTTTGCAATCTTAGTATTTAATTTAATCCCAGGAACTAACTTTGGTATTGGATGAATATTTCTCAGAACTCTGAGGAAATAGTCAAAATAAGCCTCTCTTATGTTAAAGTTGATGTCCTGTCACCTTGAGTTATGGACACTTGCCCTGACAAATAGTGCCCTAGAAGTTAGGAAAGATGGAGGTGTGTGTGTGAGTATGTGATGTATCACCACAGAAAGTACAAAAGGATGAGAGAAAAGGGTCTTAGTTCTGGCCCCAATAGTCATATAAAGACCAAGTGTGTACATGCCTGTAACACCAGTGTTGAGGGGACAGAGATGAGTAACACTCAGGAGATTGTGGCCCTGTCAGTCTAGCAAAGATGGTGAGCTCCGGGTCAGTGAGAGATCCTATCTCAAATGGCTGGCTGTAGGGCAATAGGAGATGTCAGGTTCTTCTCTGGCTTCTAATCTTGCATGCATAGACAAAATATAACAACACATGCATACCAGCATACACTAGGGCACACACACACACACACACACACACACACACACACACACACACAAGTGTGCACTTAAGGTTCAGCATGACCCCTTTTTCCAATGACTCAGCTTTGGTTGCTTAGCTTACAAAAATAAGATTCCAAATCTGACGGAAATAACAAGCAGTATTTGCAGTATTTAGAAGGTAGATTTTATTATCCCAAAGAACTTGATGCCTATTATGGCATTAACATGTTCTGGCATTTGTGGGAAAATGATTGACAGTATTCTTTCAGCAAACACAAGCTCAAAGTATGTAAACCATTTATGTGCTTTGTAAAATTTTATCACATATTAAAGCTTCTGTCAACCCTAATGAAGATGACAACTCTCAGTGGCTGTTTTCTGTCTGATCTTGTTGACCAGCTTTTTTGTGATGCTGACAGCAGCTTAGTTATAGTTCAGACATGTCATCATTAAACCTTGTACTATGTGTTCTATTTTGTTAATAATCACCTGTTGATTTGATCAAGGATATGCTTAGAAAATTGGATATTTTTTGCATTTTTTCTCTTTTATTTCTTACAATTTATTCACTTTTCATCCTAGCTGTAGCCCCCTCCCTCGTCCCCTTCCAATCTCACTCTCCCTCCCTCATGTCCTCCTATGTCCCTCCCCCAGTCCACTGATAAGGGAGGTCCTCCTACCCTTCCATCTAACCCTAGCCTATCAGGTCTCATCAGGACTGGCTGCATTGTTTTCTTCTGTGGTAAGACTGGTAAGGCTGTCCCCCCCCCCCCACTGCCAGGAGGAGATGATCAAAGAGTCTGCCACTGAATTCCTGCCAGAGACATCCCCTGTTCCCCTTATCTAGCCAATTTCTTTAACTTGTATCTTTTCTGTTGCTTCTATGTGCCTCAGGCTATTTGAGAATTAAGCACTGTTTTTTGTTTGCTGGTTTTTTATATAATTTTTATTATTTTATATTACTCACAGTTTATTTACTTTGTATCCCAGCTGTATCCCACTCCCTCATTCCCTCCCAATATCATCCTCTCTCCTTCATCTCCTCCCTGCCCGTTTCCAAGTCCACTGATAGGAGAGGTCCTCCTCCCCTTCCATCTGACCCTAGCTTATCAGGTATCTTCAGGACTGGCTGCAATGTCCTCCTCTGTGGCCTAGCAAGGCTGTCCCTCCCTCGGGGGGAGGGGAGGTCAAAGAACCATCCATTGAGCACAAGGACCAAATATATCTGGGCAGAGGGGTCTTTTATGAGAATTAAGCACTGTTAACATACTCAGGATGTCAAGAGTCCCATGATGCATTGCTTGAAATTCAAATTCTTTACAACACAATCGGAAGTCATTGGTAGGTTATCACAGAAAATTTTAGGTCACTGTTACAATTACGATTAAATTTATATTTCTATTTTTGATAAAAATGGTGTTATGCCCAACACTATTCTGGGAGTACATAAATAAAATGATATCTAACTCAATAGCTTAAGGAGATAACTTTTCCTTTTAACAGCACTGATATGCTATAAATAGAATTTCATAAGATAATCAAACTATGTCAAGCATTCATAATCATCTTTTAATTTAATTTGTTGTAAAATAGAGCATGCAATAAGATTAATAATTTAAACCATTCTTTGCTCAAAAATTTTGACTCTACTGCATAACCCATGGATTTTGATTTTGAATTTTAAGGAAATGCATACTTGAACACCATATTCATGTGTTCTGTCTCTTTTTTTTCCCTCCTTCCCTCCCTCCCTTCCTCTTCCTTCCTTCCTTCCTTTCTCCTCCTCCTCTTCTTTGTTTTGTAAACTCAGTCTATCTAGTTAGTTATATAACCTATGTTGGCCCCAGACTCAAGCACTTTTGTGTCAGTCTTCCAAGTGCTTGAATTAACACTAATAAACACTAATAAAGTGTTTAATGTCCCTTTACTATTAAAGGTCATCCACATTTTCCTTTGTATTGTTTTCAGGGAAAACATTAAATGGTTATATATTAGGGTATATGGGTTTGGTAATTGAGATTACTTTTAGACTACAGCAGTTTAGAGATCAGCATTGTAGACATTTGAAACAAGGGAACATGCAGGGATCGGTGGAGAACTTGAAGCCTCACACAGTGAAGTCAGCTCTCTGACTCATTAAAAACCTGCCCTTCTGTGTGTCTTAGACTTCTCTGGTTCTAAAAGATGGCAATGTAAGCTGAGCCAGTTCCAATTCTGAAAAATTTCAGAAATTCTCCTGCTTTAACTTTTACTCAAATTTATGCACAATTAATATATCTATAGCTATTTTCCTCTAAGCATGTCTACAATTGATCATCTTAAGTTGTTTTTAAAGTCAATAATGTAAAATATGACAAGTCCCCCTCATAGAGTGACCTTGCTTTATAACTCACAAAAGAAATAAAAAAATCATGAGCACTTTCTAACAGGAAAACAATTTTATTTGATTAACTTAATTCTGAATTTATACTATTATATTATTGGGTAGTACTTGTAAGTATAGGTTTATAAGTTACTTTATTATGTTTTTGTCATAGATTAAGATGCTGAATCTCTGTGAACTTAATAGATTGTCCAGAGAAGTAGAGGAACAACCGTTACCAATAACCATTGAAATCTGCACTGTTTCTTATCTTTCCAAAAAGAGAAGCAAAATTTATTAGCTTATTGGGTTCCAAATATATTAGCTTATGAACTTATGTGGTATTGACATATAAATTTTATATTCTAAAAGCTTTATATTTAGGGTGATTTTCATTTAGTGTGAATATGTTAAATATGAAAGAATAATTCCTTATTGCATGAATTTCATAGGAAAAATTAATAAAAGGCAGTGACAAATTACTTTTGTCTTTAAAAAATGTTATTTACATTATAAAAACATCTTAGCAGTTACTATAAACTTTTAGTGAGTAGGTAGGACAGTGTTTTAGGATTGGAAGAATTTTAAAACAACTCTTTTTTTTTTCTTTTTTTATATCAAATAGAAGTTCAAGTTGAGGGACATCTGGGTTCTTTCCAGGTTACTACTCAGCAATTAAAAACAAGGAAATCATGAAATTTGCAAGCAAATGGTGGGATCTAGAAAAGATCATCCTGAGTGAGGTATTCCAGAAGCAAAAAGACACACATGATATATACTCACTTATACGTGGATACTAGACATATAACATAGGATAAACATACTAAAATCTGTACACCTAAAGAAGATAAACAAAAAAGAGGACCCGGGGTAAGATGATCAATCCTCGCTCAGAAAGACAATTGGGACGGATATTGGAAGTAGGAGAAAACAAGAAACAGGACAGGAGCCTACCATAGAAGGCCTCTGAAAGACTCCACCTACCAGTGTATAAAAGCAGATGCAGAGACTCATAACTGAACCTTGGGCAGAGTGCAGAGTATCATATGAAAGAAGGGAGAGTTAATAAGACCTGGAGAGGATGAGAGTGCCACAAGGACCGAATATATCTGAGCACAGGGGTCTTTTCTGAGACTGATTCTCTAACCAAGGATCTTGAATGGATATAGCCTAGAACCCCTGCTCAGATGTAGCCCATGGCAGCTCACCATCCAAGTGGGTTAACCTAGTAAGGGGAACAGGGATTGACTCTGACATGAACTCAGTGGCTGGCTCTTTGACTCCCCCCACCCCTCTTAGGGAGAAGCAGCCTAGCTAGGCCACAGAGGATAACATTGCAGCTAGTACTGATGAGATCTGATAAACTAGGATCAGGCTGTCCATAGCAGCTGACTATGATTTCACTAGTGCTTCAGCAGAAGCATTATTGCCAGTTGCAGATAGTTTTGTGACTGTGTGACATTTGTAATTCTGGGGACTTTACCGAGGGTATATCAATGCTAGAACCCTGATATGCATCGTGGATTTTTAGTTGTGGATATTTTTTTTTTGGGGGGGGGTTCAGGTTTTGGTAATAGTGCTCAAAGAAGAAACAAGAAGAAAAAATGGATTCAGGGATCTCTATATCTCTTTCCCCCCTATCCTTTTTTTCTCTCTTGTGTAGTGATAGCGGGTGAAATAGGGTAGAGGATAAAAGCTGGGACAAAGAACCCACAAAGTAGCAAAGACCAGCTACAACCAAGAGGTGTTGATCCTGCTTTTTACTTTTTACTTGGACTTATATAATATTCTCACTCTCCCGAGATGGTCCCTAAGACTTGGAGGAAGAGGATACAATGTAGAGGTTCCATTTATGGATGAGGAACGCTTATTCACTTATTCAGTTCACTTTGGCCAACTGTGAGTTTTTTTTCTGCCCTCCACTGCACAGTCTCCGCTCTGAAATAGGAGAGCTCTCTCATCCACAAGAGATAATGAAAGGACTTTATAGGCCAAGCAATACTATGCTAGTGTGGCAAGATAGTAGCAGTAGGTTCACCCAAGTAGGAACTCCCAAGCCAGGAATCACTGGCCAGATTTGTAGTGCTACACTTCCTCCTGTAGAGTGGGCAATGAATCCAATGCTGTGGTTATTTCCATAGTATTCGTGTCATTATTATGATCATGGGCATATCTGTCATTACTTGCAGATTTTAAAGAGGGGTGAATTGATAAGTTTTCTCCTGCAGCCACCCTCAGAACAAATTCTGGTACTGTTAAATCTAGACAGTAAAGAAGAAGGCTTATGGGTAATACCTACTTGATCTCTCCATTTCCTCTGACAGAAGTATGTGGAATCTTCAGTAGGAATAAGGCTATTTCAGGAAGCCATGTGGAAGCCTATTATATTTTATAACCTTCATGAATATATATTTATAATATAAAAATTGAACATCAATTAAGTAGCATATAAATATAATTTATAAAATAAAATTACAGATATATGATTTTGATTGAAGTTACTCTGCACAGGGGACAGCACTCCTCATAGAAACCACACTTTACCAAATAAAAGCCTAATTCCGGGAGATAGCTTCCCTTGAGTTGTAGATCAAAGGCATGGCAAAACCCTCCCCAAACTGCAAGTTATTGCCATTGCTTTAGGTTGTACAACAGAACTTGATGAAATAAGTTAATACTTTTAAAAATATAAACTTTTAAATTGTAAACAAAATATGTTAAATTGAAGATGATTTAGATTAAAAAAAAATTCTTTCATTATCTTTTAGTATTCCCTAAGCAAAATATATTAAGTTTGACAGCAATAGAAATATTTTTGAATTGTATAATTAGGATTTTTGTTAAACACAAATGTTTGGAAATTGCCTGTTTCTGGTATTATGCAGAAAATAAATACAAGAAAATAAAGTTGGTAATAACAGAAATAACAGAGGATGCTGAACCCTTCTGGCATTACTAATTTTTTCAATCTCCCTTTCTTAAAAATGAAGGAGGAAGTATATGCAGAGCTGATGAGTTCCTGTGCAATAATTCCCTTTGCAAGCTCCATTTCTGGTTTTGTGATGGAGAAGATGACTGTGGAGACAACTCAGATGAAGCCCCTGACGTGTGTGGTATGGTCTCTCACATGGCTCTTAATTGAGCTCTCATCTTGTGATCTAACATGCTGAAGGGCACCAGGGAAGTATTGGAGATGATCTACAGATGTCTTATCCTGGGGGTCAGGTAGACGTAGCATATTGTCAGATACAGCTTTTGTCCAGGTAAAAGCTCTGTTAAAAGTTCTTCACTCTGTACACAGCACCCTAATGCCTGAACCTGTCGTATCAGCACTATTCAGCACATACAGTAATACTTTTTAGAAGGATTTATATACGGTAGATAGACTTTGGAACTGAGTGAAGTAAATTTGAATATTTTTGGCTTCATCTCAATGTGCGTTTTATGATAAGGAAGCTTTAACAGTAAGTAAATGTAAATAATGTGAATATTTAAATGACATTATACCAGAATTAAGAATTCTCTAAAGTGGCTGTTCAGAAATCAGTGCAGAATATACACAAAATTATCTTCCATTCAGTATAAATATTTTAAAAGCAAACAAACAAACAAACAAAACATATTTTCTCTATGTTCAAGTTGCTCTTTACCAACTTGGTTTCAGGGTATGTGCAATGAAAAAAATACTAAAATTTAAGATCATCAACATAACTAATTTTTTATAGTTTTTAAAAATTTATTTTTAAAATATATATTCACTTTCCATCTGATCGAAGCTGCCTCTATCCTCTCCTCCTGGTCTCCTCCTACCCCCTCCTTTCTCTTCTACTCAAAAAAGGAGAACCCCCCCAACCCAGTTCAGCACATCAAGTTGCATGGGACTGAGCTCATCCTAGTCCCACTGAGACCAGGCAAGGCAGCCCCGCCAGGGGTAAGTGTTGAAAAGCAGGCAACAGAGTTCATTTCATAAATACCACCAGTTCAATACAGTAGGGGACTCATAGGAGGATATAAATGCCCATCCGCTACACACATGTAGGAGGCCCAGGTCCAGGCCATGATTTCAGGCTGCATCTCTCGTATTTTTAATTAATGAATTAATTAATTTACATCCTGAATACATTTTTCCCTCCCTCCCTCCTCTCCTCTCAACCCCTCTCCCCCTCGACCTTCCATTTCTCCCCCATCCACTCTTCCTCCCTTTCTCTTTAGAAAAGGGGAGGCCTCCCAATAAATATCAACCAGCCCTAGCATATCAAGTTGTAGAAAGGGTAGGCACATCTTCTCTTATTGAGGCTAGACTTGGCAATCAAGCTAGGGAAAAGTGTCCCAGAGGAAGTCAACAGGGTCAGAGACAACCCTGCTCTTGCTGTTAGGAGTTGCACATGAAGGCCAAAGGATACAACTGTCACACTTGTACAGAGGGTCTGGGTCAGTCCCATGCATCCTCTCTGATTGGCAGTTCAGTCTTTGTGAGCCCCAATAGGCCCAGTTAGTTGATTTTGGAGGTTTTCTTGAGGTGTCCTTGACCCCTCTGACTTCTGCTTCCTCCTCTCTCTTCCTCCCCCTCCTCCTTTCTCCCTCTCTTCCAGAGTATTTCCCAAGCTTGGCCTAATGTTTGGCTGTGGGTCTTTTTATCTGCTTCCATCAGTGTCTGGGTTAAGCCTCTCTGAGGATGGTTATGCTAGGCTTCCATCTACAAATATAGCAAAATATAACTAACTGGTAAAGGTGAGCTTCTTATCATTGCATGGATCTCAACTTGGAGCAGTTCCCTTGATTTCTGCTAAATTTTTCCCCTCACATCTTGTATGCAGGACAAATTGTATGGCAGAAGTTTTGTGGCATGGTTGGAGTACCAATCCTTTTATTGGAAGTCTTACCTGTTTACATGAGATGGCTGGTTCAGGCTCTATATACCCCATTGCTAGGAGTCTTAGCTAGGGTTTCCTTCTTAGATTCTTGGGAGTTTCCATTGCCCTGGGTTTCTAGCTTATACCAGAGATGCCAAATCCCGATTTTAGGCCAGTACTCTGTCTCTCTCTTTCTTCCCCTCTACCTGATTCCTCCTGCTCCTCTCCCCACCCCTCCTGCATTCATTCTGCTCATCTCCATCCTCAAACCACCACAATGTCTATTCTATTTCCCCTTCTCGGTGAGATTCCATAGTTCCCACTTGAGCCCTCCTTACTTAGCTTCTTTGGTTCTGTGGAGTGTAACACGGTTCGTGGTTATCCAATTTACTGAAGGAGTTTATCATCTGTAGGAGTTGATTGGTAGAATTTTTAGTTTCATTGTCATTTCATGTGTGAATAGTGATGCTTTGCTTTTTGCTTTCCAATGTCAATCTCCTTGATCTCCTCCAGAGATAGTTTTCCTTTAGCTAGAACTTTAAGTACTATATTAATAGACATGGAGAGGTGGATATCCTCTGTCTTGTTCTTGATTTCAGTGGTATTGCTTTGAGTTTCTTTCCATTTAATTTGATGTTGGCAATAAGATTATTTTAAATTAACTATATTATGTTTACATATATTCCCTTGTATTCCTGATCTCTACAAGATTTTTATCCTGCAGGGGTATTAGATATTTCAAAGGTTTTTGCACATCTGATGAGATAATCATGCAATTTTATTTTCTCTTTCAGTCTGCTTATATGGTGGACTACATTAACAAATTTTTGTATATTGAACAATCCCTGCATCTCTAGGATGAAGCCTACTTGATCCTGGTGGATGATCATTTGATGTATTCTCTGATTTGGCTTGCAAGTAATTTATTTAGGTATTTTTCCATCAGTGTTCAGGAGGGAAATTGGTCTGTAATTTTCTTTGCTGAATCTTTGTGTTGTTTGGGTATGATCTAATGATTCTTCATATTTCTTTGGTGTCTGTTGTTATGTCCTGTTTTTCACTTCTGGTTTTGTTAATTTGAATATTCTCTCTGTCTTTTAGTGATAAATGTTTGTTTATCTTGTTGATTTTCTCAAAGAAACAACTCTTTATTTTATTTGTTCTTTATATATTTCTTTTCATTTCTATCTTATTGATTTTAGCCCTCAGTTTGATTCTTTCCTACAGTCTTTTCCTTTTGCTCTTCTTATTCTTGTTTTAGAGATTTCAAGTGTGCTGTCAAGTTGCTAGTAGGAGTTCTCTTTATTTTTTTTTTATGTAGGCATTTTGTTCTATGAACTTTCCCTCTTAGCACCACTTTCAATGTGTCCAGTAAGTATGGGTGTGTTTAACATTCATTTTCATTGAATTCTATGAAGTTTTTAATTTCTTTCTTTCTTTCTGCCTTGACCCAGCACTCATTCAGTAGAGAGTTACTCAATTTCCATGAGTTTTCAGGTTTTTTTTTTTTTTTCTGTTGCTGTTGCTTCAAATCACGGTGGTCTGATAAGATATACTGGGTATTTTAATTTTTTCTGTCTGTTCAGGCTTGCTTTGTGATTAAGTATATGGACAGTTTTGAAGAAAGTTCCATGATGTGCTGGGAAAACATGTATTCTTTTGTCCTTGGATAAAATGTTCTGTAGATATCTGTAAGGTTCATAATATTTGCTAGCTACAGTATTTTTCTTTTTCTCTTTTGTCTGGATGACCTGTCTTTTACTATAGTGGAGTGATAAAGACTCCAAATAGTAATGTGTAAGGTTCAATGTGTGGTTTAAACTTTAGTAATGTTTATTTTATACATGTGGGTGCCTTTAAATTTGGGGCATAGATGTTAAAAATTAAAAAGTCATCCTGGTGGATTTTTATTTGATGAGAATGATGTGTCCTTCCCCATCTCTTTTGATTATCTTTGATTGGAAATCTATGTTGTTAGATTAGAATAGCTGTGCAGTTTGCTTCTTGGGTCCATTTGCTTGTAAAATCTTATAAAAATCCTTTTACCTTGAGGTAATGTCTATCTCTGATGTTAAGGTGTGTTTTTTGTATGCAGCAAAAGGATGAATCTTGTTTTGGAATTCATTCTGTAAGCATGTGTCTTTTAGGGGGAAATTTAGTCCACTGATATTGAGGGATAGTAATTACCAATGATGTTAATTCATGTTATTGTGTTGGTGGTGGTAATGCTGTATGTGGGAGTGGGTAGGTGTGTGTGTGTGCGTAATTCCCTTGTTTTGGTTTTGCTGCTGTGAGCATATTTATTTCCTTTGTTGTCATGGGTGATTTTAATTTCCTTGGATTAGGATTTTCCTTCTAGTACTTTCTGTAGGGCTGGATTTGAGGACAGATATCAAATTTTCTCCACCTATTGTAATTGAAAGTTTTGCTGGGCATAGCAAGTTAAAAAAATCTTTCATAATTTTGTTAAAAATATTTTCTCACTCAGGGTGATCTTTTCTAGTTCCCACAATTTGCCTACAAATTTCATGATTTCCTTGTTTTTTAATTGCTGTGTAGTATTCCATTGTGTAAATGTACCACAATTTCTGTATCCATTACTCAGATGAGGGACATCTGGGTTGTTTCCAAATTATGGCTATTACGAATAGAGCTGCTACAAACATGGTTGAGCAAATGTCCTTTTTGTATAGTTATATATGGCATATACTCATATATAAGTGGATATTAGACATATAATATAGGATAAACATACTAAAATCTGTATACCTAAAGAAGCTAAGCAAGAAGGAGGATCCTGGGTAAGATACTCAATCCTCATTCAGTAAGGCAAATGAAATAGACATCAGAAGAGGGAGAAAACAGGGAACAGAATAGGAGCCTACCACAGAGGGCCTCTGAAAGACTCTCAGCAGCAGGGTATTGAAGCAGATACTGAGACTCATAGCCAAACTTTGGGCAGACTGCAGGGAATCTTATGAAAGAAGGGGGAGATGAAAGACCTGGAGGGGACAGGAGCTCTGCAAGGAGAACAACAGAATCAAAAAATCTGGGCACAGGGGTCTTTTCTGATTTTGATACTCCAACCATTCATGGAGAAAACCTAGAACTGCTGCACAGATGTAGCCCATAAGCAGCTCAGTCTCCAAGTGAGACAGAGGGAACAGGGGCTGTCTCTGAAATGAACTCAGTGGCTGGCTCTTTGATCACCTCCCCCTGATGAGGGAACAGTTTTACCAGGCCACAGAGTAAGACAATGC